CAGATTAGTACTGCTGAAATCAAAGGAGTCACACAGATTGACACCAGCTGAAGACCTGTCCTAATAAATCTGACTTTATTTATGGGGAATGAAACCACAGTCATGTCTCCTCAAAGGCAACAGTCCTGCTCAAATGACGGGAATAAATTATTTTGGCTGCATGAATGAATTAAATATTGAATGTTCCATTTTTCGGACTTGGCTGCTGCCTCACCTAAATCAGTGGAGCTGATTTACACCAGCTCTTTGGAGAAATGACCAGTTGGTCCTGGAGTGCTGACAGTCAGGCTGGTTTACCTGGGCCAGCTGATTTTCTGTTTAGCAGCTGGGTGTGTGATCAGCCTCACAAATACTCTGGCACAAGGAGTTCAAGCCACACAGCATGGTGGATACATACTCAGTAATGGAAATCTGGGCTGAGTAACATTCCAAGGTAAATCCCTTCATCTGGCATTTTCTAAAGGACTGAGGGAATTCAGTGCTGGATTTACCCCCTTAGCTCCTGGTACCTTCTGCATCACTGCATCAGGGGGACATGAGGCTGAACAGCAGCAAAGGAGCACTTGGCTCTGTATCCATAGTATGATTCCTGTCCATTTTCTTCTTTGGAAAGACTCTTTAGACAGCAAAAGAGTGAGTCTTCCTGTAGTATTCCAGCTTCTTTCACTCAGGTGTCAGGTGTCATCTGCAGAGGCCAGCATCTCTGAAAATGAGATACTCACCTGTGCTGAAGTGGGGCTGCTGAGTGTTCAGGTGCTCTGTGTTATTGAGAGTCAGCTAAAACAGATGTTTACATGCTCTGGTTTGTAAAGCTTTCATATTTTAAAGGTCCAAGCTGATGTAACTCTCCTGCCTGTCTCCCAAGTAGTGTCAATAACAACAACAAAAATTGATGGTGCAGTTTGATTTCTCCACCTCCCTCTCCATTCCAGTACGTGCTTCCTGAATCCCAGTCCTTCTGCTGATTGGAAGGGATGTCACCTTCATCATGGAGCAAAGAAGAAGAAAAAGCATCCTGATAGGAAACCAACTCAGCTAGTGGTTTGGCTCATAACTCAGCCTTTACCTTTGGTGAGTCAGGAAAATCCAAGGTGTTCTTTTTACCCTTGGACTTGTAGGTAGACTCTGATCTCGCCTATTTACAAAGGAAGTCAGCTACAGACAAGGAGCTATTCCTGCCATGCATCTGCAAGAGGAAACAGCACCCAGCCTCCCTGAGCTCTCTTTCTGCTCTTAGTAGTCCCTGTATTCTTTGGCTGGCTACAGCCTTCAGTAAAAGTGTCAGACAAATCAAACCACATAAAATAAATCAATCTATTTCCCTGTTTATTTGTTCTAAGACTGAAAAATGAAGTCAAATTGAGAAATCTGTTTATGTGGCTGAGAGGCATAAGGGATGTATTGAAGAAGAAGTGATATTAAAGCATTAGCCTGACAGAACCAGAGCTAGCTTGAACTGGGGCATGCTGCCTGTTTCCAGTTCACTGTGGATGGCTGTAGAGTGATGGATAGTGGCATTTGCATATATAATGTCCATGGAAAGGTAAAGAGGTAAAAGCCATAAAACGATTACATTCAAGTTCCCAAAAAACAATTTGACACTGAGAATTAAAAGCAATGTGGCTTCCTTGTTTTATTAAAGAGTCAGCAGTGATTTATGGAACCTTTGCATATTTATATGCTGGAAGAAAGTGCTGAATTCTCATCAGCCAAGCAGACATTGGCAGAAAGATGAAACCAGCAAACTCAGACTGAAATATGGCACAAATGTTTAATAGTGAATGTAACTGAACTCATCAAAACATGAAGTGGTTTTTCCATCATTTGAAGATCTTGAATTGAAGTCTTTGAATTAGACAGAGAAGTGTCTTTTTCATTTAGTCAGTCAGTACAAGGATCAAGCCAGGGTGACACAGGACTGAAGTGATCTCTTTTACCATTGTCATCCTTCGAGGGACCTGAGAGCTCACAGAAGCCCAGGTTTGAGCTGCTGCTATCAAAGAACTCAACAACAGCTGAAATGTCCCTGTCATTTTGTTTTTAATGAAATAACATTGCACCCAGACACACCTGTAAGTGCCCCAGTGTGCCATACCCACACAGGAATCACTATCAGAAGGCTGCTCAGGCACCTGGGTGTCCCAGCACCCCAGTCTGGGGCTGCAGGGTTAGTCCTTGAGCCCTGTCTCATCCAAGCTAAGCCAGAGTGTCTGGTTTGTGATCACAAGACAAACTCTCACAAGCCAGCTGAGGTGGGCTGTGGAGCTTCAAACAGCCAGATGTCCACATCTCAGTGACTTCATCCTTGCTGACACACTTGACCACAGCATTTGCTAAAGAATTCACTGAGGCAATGAAATATGCTGGGGAAATAGTCAAAGAGTGGGAGATAACCAAATGTTTTTTGGGAAAAAACCCAAACCAACACAATGCCATATTTATGTCATTTCTAAAGTACTCTTTCCCTTGATGTTGCAGTCTGATACCACATGAGCTTTGAACTTTTGTTCCTCCTTCATTTGGAAAGTTATTTTTGCTAGGCCTGCTATCGTGGCTCCTTTATCTCCAAGCCAGCAATCTCAATTTGTATGAAATATTAGCTATCAGATTTACAGATTTAGCTATCTGAGCCTTTTACCCTATGCTAACCCAAATAGTTTATTTTTTTTTTTTTAAGGCCATTTCACCTGGGTCAGAGGATTTGAACTGCCTAAATGCTACCTTTACTTCACAATGTGTTAGAGGCTTGGACCCCAAAGTCTGGCACTCAGTAGTGTCCACATGCAGTGAACACCACCTGGGTGACACCAAGATCACAGGGTTTGTGCTACATTCCCCAGCAGAATATCAAGAGTGTACAAGGAAGGATGTGCTGGTGACAGCAGGGTGAGATAAATATTGAAATAGAAAAGCTGGAATGAACAAACAAAGGAGGAAGTGAGGAAAAATGGGGAGGATATAGAGGAGGGAGAATAGACATAGTTCTGGAGGAACCTGACAGAAAATGTAATCCTGAGCCTGATCTTCAGGGTTGTGAGTCCTGGGAAGGGGCTGTGTTAGGGGTGAAGGTGCTGGAGGAGGAACACGGCTTGTGGAACTTCCTTCAGTTTGATTTAATTCTGTTTGAATAATCTCCCCGAGCAGCTGTCTGTCCAGACAAACAAACGGATCTTTTAGAGCTCCCTGGTCCATCTGGTGTGAAACCATTACTCTGCCCATGCCACCTCACACAGCATGAAGGGGTAGAAGTTGCTGTGTGACCAGAAGTCACTGGAGCAGATTTCTCACCCTCCCCACCCCCTGTCAGCCCCAGCCTTGAGCATCCAGTTGTGCCAAATCTGCAGAGCAAACCCCACACAGCACCAGACAGCCAGCAGGGCTGGGACAGAGCCACAGAATAGTTTGGGTAGGAAGGGAATTTAAAGATCAGCCAGTTCCAACCCCCCTTCTGCAGGCAGGGACCTCTTCCACTAGACCAGGTTACTCAGAGCCCCACCTAAGACCAGAGCCCCTAGTCTTCAACGCTTCTAGGGACAGGGAACTCAGAGTTTCTCAGGAGAATTGTTCCAGTCTCTTACAATTCTTACAGGGAAGGATTTCTTCCTAATATCTAATCTAAATCTAGCCTCTTTCAGCATAAAAATATTTCTCCTTGTCCCATCATTACATGAAAGCCAAAGGGCCCTCCCCTGCTCTCTTGGAGCCCCTTTACATCAGTATGAGGTGCTATGAGGTCTTCTTGGTGCATTCTCCAGATTGAACAACCCCAGCTCTCTTAGCCCTTCCTCACAGAAGAGGTATCCCATCCCTCTGATCGTTGCAGTGGCCTCCTCTGGACTCATCCAACAGCTCCACACCCTTCTTATAGTTGGATGGCTGCTTAGGATGAGGAGCTTAGAGTGGCTCATCCCAACCCAGCCTGGCACGCCTGAGTTCCAGGTGGTAACCAAAGCTGAGCAGAAGTTAAGGAAACACCTCAGTTGTAGTTTGGCCATCAGTGATTCACCCACCCATGACTGCCCAGACTGTCACATCAAGAAGAAAGGTTTGCCTACTTTTAATTTATCTTGACACTTATTTTAGCCCATGAATAAACTCTTGCATTTAAGACCTTTGAAGCTGTTTAACAGGGTTTTCTTTCCCTTTGCTAGCACACATGATCCTTATAATAGTCTATTTTAGTCTGAGGATGAAAGAGACTTTAAATTATTTCAAATTCAGATTTAGAATGGTTGGGGGAAAAACCTATGCCTAAGTAAAAGGAGAAAAATACATCAGACATTTCTCAGCTAAAATCAGGGCATACATTAGCAGGGATACAGGTGATCGGAGTTTGGGGTGAGGTTTGAGCTCAGGGTGGGGTTTGCACTCCCATGTACATGGACAATATTTGTCATGCCCACTGCTGGCACAGGATAGAAGTGTAATAGGGCTGATGCACACTCCTAAACACTGAAATCAGGGAAGGGATGTGAGGCATGGCAGGGGATCGTGTGATCTAGGGTTGCTCTGTGAAGAGAGGAGTCCCAAAGGAGTTGTCAGACTGCTTCCCACAGGGTGTGCAGGACAAATGTCCTTTTGCTCTTCAAATGAAGTCACTCTTTTTAAAAATCAAATACATCTGTGAATAATTGTATACGTGTCATGTCATTGATTGTAACCAGTAAAGCCAGATCAAACGTTTCTTGCTGCACTCTAAGTACATTGCCAGAGTCTGAACGCCTTCAGCAACATGAGGGATGAGCTCTGAGCCTCTCGGAGCTGAGCTAAAATCGCAGCGTGCTGGACCCCGGCGCCGCAGCTTTCCCTTTAAGAGCCTTTGGCTCACGGCGATGCACTGAAATGCAGGAGGTGGGACAACACCACACACAAAAATGAAGAAGTGAAGGCAGGAAAAGTTTCTCCAGAGGAAAAATGCAGGGCTTGTCCTTCACCGTGACGTCAGGTCTGTCTTTAATAAAATCCCCAAAGAGCCAAGAGAAAAAGGCAGAGTGCCTAGGCTGGGTTGCCAGTTCAGGATTGCTCTGCATTCCCCAAAGTGGTGTTTTTGTTCAAAACGGCTCTAAATCTGGGTTCAATCAAATGTATTTAATCCCGGCTTCCAGGGATGAGGTGGCTTTTGCCCTGGATTCTAGCAGCAAGCAGCATTTTGCAGGTGAGTTTGGAAACTGCCGGGGAGAGCTGTCTCTGCAAACACTCTGGGGTTTAATGCAGGGTGGGCTGGGAGAGCAGAGTGTGCTGCGTGTGGGAAGGTGGGCACTGGGAAAATTAGGAGAAGTGGGAGAGCAGGAAGGGAAAGGTGAGCTGGGGGAAAGGAAAGGAAAGGAAAGGAAAGGAAAGGAAAGGAAAGGAAAGGAAAGGAAAAGGATGGGATGCAGAAGTGTCTCAGAGTCAAGCTCTTCACAGCATCCAGGTGGATCAGCACAGAAAACTGTAGGTTTGGTGGTTTTATTTCTTCTTTTTATTATTACTATTTGTGCCATGGAGCAAAGAAGGATGAGGGAGACCCCCACTGCTCACCGAAGCAGCAGGGCTGAGGCTGTCAGGGAGGGGAAAGGGCAGGTTCCCGACGGGCGGCGGTGCCCAGGAGTGCCGGTGCCGGTGCCGGTGCCGGGGCGAAGCCGTGACCGAAACCGGGTCCCGGAGGCGCCGCCGCCGCTCCCGCAGGTGGAGCCGCTGCCTCGGGCAGGGGAGGAGGGTTCGATCCCCTCCCGATCTCTTGGAGCTGCTGCTCCTGCAGCAGCAGCCGCTTTCCTCCCCCTCCTCTTTGGAAAACCGGTCCGGGAAGCCGCTTGTTTCCCAAAGGGGCTGGAGCCCTGCTCTGCCGTTCCCGGTGCTCGCCGCAGCTCGGGCAGATCCCCGGGCGGGGCTGGGCTGGGAGCGGCCGTGGGCAGCGTGCGGGACAAGCGCTGTCCCCATCCCCGCAGCTCGGGGAGCCTTGGGGACCCGGGAGCGACTGGGATTGGAGACCCGCTTGGGCTGCCCAGCTCGGGGTGGCGTGTTCCCGAGCCAGACCCGTGTCAGCGGGATGTCACAGCATCCCTGTGCTGGCACCAGCGGCCCTGCGCGGGGGATTCTGCGTGGCAGGGCTGCTGGCATCAGGGGCTGGCTCGTGTTTTGTGAGAGACTCTAAGCCAGGAAAGCAGCGCACCTGGGTGACAGCAGATGGCACAGAGATAAGTCCTGCGTGGATGCTGATAACAGGGCGTCTTCCGTAAAATAAAACACGCCACAAAACCGACAGCAAGCAAACTGCGCCTCTTGCGCTCCTGCGGGAAGTTGGTTCTTACCGCGGCTCATTTTTGTTCACCAAGGAAAAAATCAAAGGAGGGAGGTGCCCCCCACCCCCCAAGCACTGTCACTAGAAGAGATCTCTGCAAGCCTTGTAAATTGTGCAGTGGTTGTCCTGGGTTCCCTCAGTATCAAAGATTTTTGTGAAAAACCTGCTGTGGCATGAAAAGCTCTGTGAGTGTGTCAATACATGCAGGCACATGCACTTGCTGAGGGGCTAGGCAAGCGAGTGCAATCCAGATACTCCCAGCAGCATGTTTGGTCTAAAGAGTATCTAAAAAGAGTTCAAAACAGTTTTAAAAATAGCCTCAAAAGTCTTCTGGGTCTCAGTAGTTCCAGCTCAGGCTCCCCATTGAACAGAGCCAGTGGAGCTGCTCCTTTGGAGCATTTGGGGACACTGTCACCTCCTAAACACACGCATGGGGTTGGAAACTTGGAAGTCTGTGCTTAGAAACCACTGAGTGGGGATAATTTCTCCCCAGTAATGAACTGGCTTTCTCTGGACCCTCTCCATGCCTGAACTGGAATGTGATGGGAAGGCTGAGGAAAAGCAGGTTTATATTTGTGTGACTTTTGGGAGCATGGAATTCTTAGTTTGGTCTGATTAAGGGCACTGCATGAAGAAACAAGGAATATTGCAATTATTTTGGGATATTGTGAATATTTAGGTAGCATGGCCATCCTGCTCATGAGATATTTCAGTTAAGTCATGAGTGTCATAACAGATGAGTCCTGGTAAAGCTCCAACACTGCCCCACCTCATAGTCCATAGTTTCTATCTTTCCTGGCATAATCACAACAGTAATGAAGATCTTTCTAACTCTGCAGAGACATCCATGGAGTGGTAGCACCAGGCAGGTTACTGTGCACATTGTGCAAAGCCCTGTGGTCTCCCTGGAGAATTGTCACTCTTCACATATAGGAGGAACTATGGACAGAAAAAGATGTTCCACTGGGAAAGAAGAGGGCTGACCCTCCTTTTCCAGGGAGAAATGCAGAGGAGATAACATAGGAGGGTCAGGCAGGTCTCACAGGCATCTCAGAAGGCAGCTCTCAGGTTCTGCATCTCCTGGTACTGTTGCAAACTACAAACAGTTATTCAGTTTGTAAAGAATTGTATCAACAGGGGTTTTTATTAGGGCAAAACAGCACAGGTGATGGGTTTGTGAAGAAAAAAAACCCCCTGAACATTGCTGGAATTTTAGGCATAAGTTTTGAAAATTTTCTTGAAATACTTTTTTTTTTTTTTTAATATAGTAATAAGGACAGAGACCATGGGAGCCTAAGTGCCTTCACCCAGGCTGAGATTCCTCAGTGCCTGAGTCATTTTTGCAGCAAGGAATTTTAAACTGGATGTGTTGGGTCCTTTCAGTGTTGTACATGGAGGAGTCAGAGCCAGCATCTTCAGTCTCTAGCCCTGATGACTCAGAAGTGTGAGACCACTTGTGCAGAAAGGACAAAATGTCCTAAACCAGGGTGATGATTAAAGAAACTATTCTGCACTTTATAGAAAATTAGTAAAGGAGTTTATGTAGGAAGAACAGCATTGGAGGTTTCTGAAATATTTGAAGTGGAAGAATGGGTGGTGTGTGCATCTGACAATCTAAAATAAAAAATAATATGGTGAATGCAAACCTGCAGACTTCTCAAACAGAAAAAGAAAGCAAAGAATCAAGTTGTTCTTCATCACATCTGTTAGTAGGCAGGTATTGATTTATCTGATGTGATGGCAGTCATGGTACACAAATGTAAAGCTTTTGGCTTTGATGGGTGGGAAGGAGGAAATAGATGCTCAAAAATGGTTTTATTTGGCACCATCTCATTTTTGGACACCTATTTCACTACATAGTAACTGATAATGACCCAGGCTCAGGGCTGCCTCAGGCTACGTGTTAAGAACCACAACATGTTCTTTTTCCTTCTTTTATGAGATTTACCTTACAGATATAAAGCCAAGAATTTAATCTTTAAAATATTTGGATTTGGTAGCAGGGAAAAAATTTAAAAATTTTTTTGGCTCTTCCAGGAAAAACCATATTTTCACCAAACATAAACAAAAAGCCAAAACAAAGCAAAACAAAAACACAAAGAAAAGAAAAATTGACACATTTATTCTTCCCTGCAAAAATCCTATGGCTCTCCAGAGAGGGTGAGCTGAACTTTACCTGTTAAATGCTTCTTAACAGAATGCTCCTGGTTTGCACCATGGCTAATGATGCACAGATAATCTCAGGCAGCACAGGTTCAGGATTGCTGTGCCTTTTCCTTCTAACTTCCCACTATTCCCTCTCACTCGACAACATCTGGTTACCAGAGGTAGACTGGATACACTTCTCTAGATGGGCTCTTATCCTACACTTCATAAATTGTAGACAACAATTAAATTGCCCTGGGTATAGCAGCTGAAGATTCAGCTATGGAAATGAACATCTTGAGGCCTGAAGCTGGCAGGCACAGCTCCCATGGCTATGGCTGCGCTGTGCACAGGGCCTTCCCAAAGCTGATCTTCCACTTGGCAGACCCCCCTCACACATCCACTTGCAGGGTGAAATCATTGCTAAGGCAGCATCCTGAAGGTAGCACTGAATGTTCTTCACGTGGACCAGAGGCCCACACCCAAGTCTGTTTCTGATGAAGATGCTTCCTAAGTACACACACACACACGCAGACACGCACACAGAGTTTCTGCTGAAAGAAGTAGGACCTGATGCATTTTCTGTCATAATTTCTCCTGTAAATGTCTGAATTTGCTTTGGTAGTGCGAAACAATATCTTTTCTAGCATGGACCACAACAGAGCTGTGGACAGGGTTTCCTCACCCTCCTCACAGCTGTGCCTGTTAATGTCCCCTGGGACAGGTCCTGTCCCCCTTCCACACTGCAGCAGTCCTGTCCTCAGGGGAGGCTTCTCCAGGAGAAAGCATTAGTTAAAAGTGATAGCTATGGATTTTAGCAAAAGTGTGAGATTTATTTGATGATTCTGTGTGTCTGTCCTTTCAAGGACTCATGCATGTTTTGTTTCTCCTTCCTTCCTCAGGAAGGTCAAAAATTTCAGAAGTCAGAAAGTTTTGCTATTGAAGTCCTCTATACCCATATAAGACATTTGTCTTTGTTCTTCAGAAGCTCTGGGGTCCCATGTTAGGATATTAAGAGTTGCTTTAACTTCTTGCCAGGGCTCAGCTTACTGAGAACTGCTCCTTTTGGATGTCTCAGTGTCCCAGAGGGGTCTTGAGCATTCCTGTCTGGACAGCCTGGCTCTCATGCCTGAGTGGAATTGAAGCTGTTTGTAAACCCAAGAAATGTATGTGAACCTTGGCAGCTGTGGCCTGGCAAAAGCTGGACTCCCACAGCTTCAGCTGAAGATACATTTGAATATTGAACCTGACAGCGTCTCATGGTGTGGGCCAGAAAGCAGGGAGAGACTACTCAGTCTTTCAGATTTGTCAGTAGGAGGTTTGGGTAGGTATCCTGGATTAATTTTTTCCTCCTGCTTCCCTCTTTGCTTTCATATGATATAGTTCAAGCATCCTCATTCTTATGGCACTTATTTTAAAAGCACAATTTCCCCTTTGTGTTGAGTAGTCAACATTGACTGGTAGTTGATAGGCCCAAAGAAATGCTACCCATTTGTTTCCTTTCTGTGTTCTGATGTCCACCAAGCTGCACTGGTCTTCCATCCATGGAATTTCCCCATCATTCCCTCCTGGGTTGTGCCACCCAGGGTTTGCTGCACCCTGAGGTGAGTTTTCCTTAGCTCCCCATTGCTGCAGGAGATCACAGATCTGATTTTTACAGATGTGTTGTAGGGTCAAGGGACTCTGACTGCTGCTTTAGGAGCTCAGTGCAGGTATTCTCCAGTGCTGCT